GACCGGCCTCAATACCCCCCTCCCCCTCGTAACCTCAATATTCAGCAACGATTACCCGACATAAAGGTTGCCATTTCGAAGATCAAAGACCTTCCCGAGCTGGACATTAGCAGCGAGGTAGCGGTAGCGTTCTCAAACAAAGAATTAATCGAAACGTGGCTCAGCACAAACACCGAGGAGAATTCAAATGGGTTAAAAAAAACAGAGAAAGGGAAAGCGAAGAGTCGTTCGAAATTGTTGCGAACATTCTCGAAAAAATATTAGGGAAAATATTCGAATTTTTAGGTTTGAGATCTATTTTTTGCAATTGCTATCAATGCTCTCATTAAGCGAAATTCAGTAAATAACTTACAACTTCTGGTAAAAAAGTCAGAAAAAAAATAATCAGAAGCAATGTTTTGTTTCTGATTAGGTTAAAATTTTCAAAATTAAATGAAGTATGCTTGTCTTTTGAAAGAAGTAGATTTCAACAGAATTTTAAAGCTCAGAGTTTGAATTTATTTTATCACAGAGATATCTAGCTTCAAAGCAGTGTGGAGCTTTTCTGGCGCGTGCAAAAAGCTCAAACAATGAGAAAGAAAATCGAAGATGGACAATACAAATTTTCTTCATTTCTCATCATTCGTTAATTACCATAAACTGTTATTCCACTTTATTAAAACAATTTATGTAATAAGATAAATTTACGTTAGAGCTGCAGAAACACCTGCTAGAACCACTTTTTTTGAGAATGTGTGATCTGTAGTAGGAAATCTGGAAACGAAGCTGACTATTAGCAAAAGCGTAGAACCAAAACACACAAAATGGCCTTTCCTTTTTTTCCCAACCACTCTCCTCCCCACTCTATCCCTCTAGCAGTTATGTGAAAGTTCAAAGCAATTGAAATATTCATAATAACCTGCCAACTACATTTGAAACATTATTCCATGTTTGTCAGAATGTACTTTCCGCCACAAACAATAAATTTTCATGAGCTGGGAGGCAGAAACAAAAAAAAACGAAGAGAATATAAATTTTTGGCAGCAGTTGATTTATCCTCAATGACAATGCCCAGGCAAATTTGAGTACCTGGAGTTTCGGACTACTGGGAATGAAATAAGACATACCCCAAGTGGGCTCAAGGATTCAGCTTTAAACTCCAGCCCAAATAGTACTCGAGAACGCTTGTCCGCTCTGAAGAAGTACGGTATTGGGAAAGTTAGAATTTAACTTCTTGTACACAAGTAAGTCTGGACTGCCGAGTTCTACATGACTTATTTAATGCGCCCCAATTGATTTCCACACAAACAGCTACTTAGGTTGAATTTCGATGCCCCTAAGCAAATCGGATCGGACT